AGGTTTCGCAAAAATGTACACGATTGATGGAGTTGGCGGGTTTTCACCATTAGATTTTCTGAAAGCTGTGAAACCAACCGTTGTCGAATTTCTGTTGACACAGAAGAATTTGAAGGTGAAGTTCGTACTGAGATGTAACATGGTGAAGACAAATATTGCGACTGGTGAGACTGTGCAACAGGATGCGATATTTAACTCTTCGCAAAAGATTATTTTTCAAGACACAGACCGAGAGGAGATTTATCAAGAGTGTGTTGAGAAGATGATGGAGAGTTTGGCTACGTTTACGAGAAATGGGAGCGGTTGGACTGTAGATTCTGTTGATGGATTAGATTTACACACGGTAAAATATACTCCTCTGAAAGGCTCATCATATATTCCGCTACCACAACATCTCGCGAACAAAAAGGCCATAATCAACATGAAAAACAAAGACGATAAATGTTTCAAATGGCGTATCGCGAGAGCGTTGAATCCTGTGGAGAAGGATCAAGAGCGTGTCTCAAAGATATTGATAAAGCAAGCGCTTCGTCTTAATTTTGATGGGATTGACTTTCCGATGGAGCTGAAGAGCATAGGTCGCTTTGAGCGCTTAAATCCAGGTCTTGGTGTTAACGTTTACACATGGTCAAGTGAGAATCGTGGGATCAATCCCTTGAGGGTGAGTGAAGTAGACCCTTCGGGTATCAAGACTCATATTGACCTTCTTTTCATCACTGAAGGTGAGAAAACCCACTACTGCCTTATTAAGGATTTGAGTCGACTCATATCCAGCGAAGTCTCAAAGAAGAAGGCGAAGAAATACTTTTGTAGGAGATGTCTCAATTTCTTCGGATCTCAGAAGCTGCTTGAGACTCATGCGGAACTGTGCCGGGATCACGACGCAGTAAGAGAGAAGATGCCGAAGGAGGATAGTTTCCTCTATTTTAAGAATCATCACAAGAAGATGGATTTGCCGTTCGTGATCTACGCTGATTTTGAATCGATCATCAAACCTATTCAAACATGTCAACCCAATCCTGATGAGTGCTACACCGAGAAAAAGCAGCAACACATCCCTGTGTCTTTCGTCTACTATGTCAAGTGTAATTTTGACGATAAGTATTCAAAGATGATGACCTATGTGGCGAAATCTGAGGATGAAGATGTGGCGCAAAAATTCGTTGAAATGCTTGAAGATGAGGTTAAGGACATATACAAAAACCACCCACCAAAAGAGATGATCTTCACAGGTGAAGAAGAATTTTATGCGATGCAACAAAGAAATAAGGCTCGTGCCATCTCCAACCCCGACTACAAGAAGTTCGATGACAAAGAATGTCGTTCGAAATGTATTGAAAACGCAAGAAAGACTAAAGGTGAAAAAGCTGCGCAGTTGCTCATTGACATGTTTGAAGCGGCAGACAAAGCTAAGATCAAACTTCCAGAAGGTTCAGATGCTGAAAAGTTTGTAAATGCGACGTGTTGTTGGTTGTGTGGGGGGAAATTCGAAAGCGAAGATGATAAAGTGCGCGATCATGATCACTACACTGGGAAATTTCGCGGAGCAGCGCATAACATCTGTAATCTTAGATTCAGCCGCCCAAAATTCGTCCCTGTCGTCTTCCACAACTTGGCAAACTACGATGCGCATCTGTTTGTTAGAAATCTCGGCGTTTCAGAAGGTGAGATTAATTGCATTCCCAACACAGATGAGAAATATATCAGCTTTTCGAAAGATATTGTGGTGGATGAATATATCTATTATGAGAAAAAAAGAAAATGTCGTTGTGAGGAGAGAATTGCGGTTCATTGATAGCTTCAAATTCATGGCCTCCTCTCTTGATAAACTCGTGAACAATCTCGTCAAGAAGGGTGACTCTTTAGTAAATACTGAAAGATATTTCCATGGAGAAAAGCTTGAACTGTTGAAGAAAAAGGGCGTCTATCCCTACGAGTGGATGAGCTCTATCGATAAGCTTGATGAGACTGAGCTTCCACCGAAAGAAGCTTTCTTCTCCGTGTTAAGTGGTAGCGGTATCTCGGATGAAGACTATACCCATGCTCAGAATGTATGGAAAACCTTTCGAATGAAGACGATGCGTGACTATCACAAACTTTACAATCGAAGCGATGTTCTTTTGTTAGCCGATGTGTTTGAAAACTTTCGAAAGCTCTGCAAGGAGAACTATGATCTCGACCCCTGTTGGTATTTCACAGCGCCTGGGTTGGCTTGGGACGCTTGTCTCAAGAAGACTGGGGTGAAGCTTGAATTACTGAGTGACCCAGATATGTTGCATATGTTTGAGAAAGGCATTCGCGGGGGGTTAGTATGATCACAAAAAGACATGCAATAAGTAACAACAAGTACATGGGTGAGAAGTTTGATCCCACCCAACCTTCAAAGTTCATCGTATACGTAGATGAAAACAACCTTTACGCTGCCGCGATGCGTCGGCCGCTGCCTACAGGCGGCTTCAATTGGCCGGATAAGAAAGAGTACAAAGAATGGGAAGGTTATCCTTGCATTCTCGAGGTTGATTTGCCTCCCATCGTTGAAGAGCAGCACGATTACTTCAACGACTATCCTCTTGCTCCTGAGAACTTGATGATTGGCAAAGTTCCAAAGCTGGTCTGTACGTTAAACGAGAAGAAGAAGTACATAGTTCACCACGAGACGCTCAAGCTCTACAAATCTCTTGGAATTCAGATTGGGAAGATTCATCGTATCATCCGGTTCGATGAGAGTCCATGGATGAGGAGCTATATCGACATGAATACAGATCTGCGAACTTTGGCTGACAACGACTTCGAGAAGGACCTGTACAAGCTAATGAACAACGCGTGCTACGGTAAGACGTGCGAAAATATTAGGAAACGAGTTGACGTTAGACTTGTAAACTCAGACGATAAGGCGAAGAAGCTAGCGAATAAGGTTAACTTCAAACATTGCACGATCTTCTCCGAGAATCTCTGTGCGATTGAGATGAAGAAAACGCAAGTTCTCTTCAATAAACCGGTGTATCTCGGAATGAGTATTCTAGATCTCAGCAAAACACTCATGTATGACTTTCACTACAATTACATCAAACCTAAGTATGGAGATGATAGAGCAAAGCTTCTTTTCACCGACACAGATTCTCTTTGTTATGAGATTCAAACCGATGACTTCTACAAAGATATTTCTTCTGACGTACATCAACATTTTGACAGGAGTAACATTCCGAAAGATCATCCTTCCGGGATACCAACCGGTGTGAACAAGAAAGTGGTGGGGATGATGAAAGACGAAAGTGGGGGTAGAATTATCGAAGAATTCGTCGGTCTTCGTGCGAAGCTTTACAGCTACAAGATGCTTGAGGGAAAGGAAGAGAAGAAGTGCAAGGGGGTGAAGACAGGTGTTGTTAAACGTACGATCAACTTCGACGACTATAAGAGATGCCTGTTTGGTGGTGGACCACAGCTTCGGAAGATGAACAACCTCAGAAGCCGAAAGCATGTGATGTATATGGAAGAGATTAACAAGATAGCTCTCTCAGCAGACGATGACAAACGAATAATTCTTCCAGACAGAGTGAACACATATGCAATAGGGCATTACCGGTCTGAATAAATTATCGTGAACGTACGGTAATTTTAATGATGGGGTCAAAACCAAAACCAAAACCAAACCACAAACCACACATTGAAATTAACGTAAAAACTACATTAATTTACTGAGAGTGAATGAGGACCAAATATTAAGTACACATTAGATATGTTAACGTGAAGCATCGCTAAATTAACGTGAAATAACCTTAGCGAGTAAATTGACGAGATTTATCGCATAGAATTGAGCCAAGAAATCATCCTTTAACGAGAGATAAATTTAAACCCATCGAATAAATTAACGCAAATTCACGCATAGAATTGACGCATAATCAATCCTTTAACGAGAATATATCTTAGCGTGAAGCTACGCTAAATTAATGACAAAAAACCCGTGAGTGCTAAATTAACGAGAATTCATGATAATTTTATCGAAAATGCGCCAGAACCCGCCCTATGCCTACTACTGAGATGTCATTTTGTCGCCAGCATTCTCTTGCTGAAAATTTAAAAATGTATATTTTAAATGGAACTCGATCGTGGTAAGCTAACTCCTTATTTCCGGGAAAAAAAAATATCAGTTCTAGCTTACGACGAACAATTTGACATTTTCCTTCAATCCGGAAAAAAATTACGATTTATATTCCCACTATTTTATTATTACTTCGGTCCCCAAACGGAGGCAAGCATATGATGGAGAAAAAAACACTGCAGAGACAAACTTTTTTCGGTCTTTAAGAAAACAAACATATGACAATGTGACATTAAACACTGTCGCCATAATATACCGTTTCAGGGCCGCAACTTTGAAAGGGAGGAAAACTTTCTTTTAATCATAACGTTTTTTATCAGCTTCAGAGAAACGAAGCAGGAAGCGACCTCACTTTTAAATGTCGCGAAAGATTCAGATTCCTTGAGATGAAAGGAAATATGCTTTTGGACCTACAAATGATAAACTTCAAGAAGTTTCAATTAGTCAATTCATCATCTTGTAATTTCTCGACATTTCTGTCAACGGTGGGCTAACGTACATTGTATCCTTCCATAAGCCAATTCACTTTATAATTTTGTGATGATATTTCAACCTGAATCAACCAGGCGGGCAAAAAGTTCCAGACAAACCAAGCAATACCGTATTCTAATACGGGAGGTAATTTTCCTCATGGATAAATAATTTTATGGTAATATTTGTGTACGATGCGTGATACACTGTATCACCTTCAAGATTAGCTGAATTGAATTGACGTGAACTTCGTCATGATCAATTTTCGCTTTAGTTTTTGTCGTTACTGTTGACGAAGAAGAAAAACTTTAAACTAATTTTTTCGATTTCATTTTCCTAACTACCGCGGTGTATAAATCTACATAAAATACATTAGTGATAATCCTAACTTGGTACTTATTTTCAATAAAAAAAAAAATATCGTCTGCAGGATCTACAACGAGATAAAAATTTATCAACTTGTCATGATGATGGGTAACTTCTGGCTTCCAGAAGCGTCAACGTGTTTTGTTGTAGTAACTATTTCCTGCGCTTTGTGGAATCTTCCTTTCGTCAGAGGTGCACAGTGCAATCCCAATTTTAAAAGTAAGTTGTCTTAACTACTTTTAAACATCCTGGTTTAAGACCAGGTATATTAGTGTATATCGGTGTATATTTTTCTTTAATTTAGTTCATTCATTTATTTAGTTATAGATCTACTTATGTATTTATCTATCTAAGTGTATTTAATAGTTATTCCACGAGCCCGCGTTGGATAAGAGATGATAGATAGCCAACATACATACATACATACATACATACATACATACATACATATATACATACATACATACATACATGCACACATACATACATAGATACATAGATACATACATACATACATACATACATACATATCTGTTGAGTTAGGAATATACAAAGACTATGCTTTCATCCCTACTAAATCATCAGGGGATTTTAGTGACAAGAATATTAGGAACCATCGTTTATATAGCATAAAAATTGCACAATAGGGGTAGCAGTAAATTTAAATGCTTTGTTAAGTTGTTACACATTAGCGCTTTGTTTCTGTGGTGGCATAAGGACACAACTTCCTTACGTTAGTTGACTGACGACAATTTCAGGTCGGCAGATGATAAGTAATATTTCTTTGAGGCAGAGGTTGCATCTTTTACTTGCTCCTTTGTAGGGTGATCTTGATGAAAGGATGCGCTATGAAATAAAGTGAATATATGTTATTCACCAACCGGGAGACCCGTACTGAGAAAAACTGCGCCTGAGGTCTTGGATACCGCCCGAGGCAGTAGGCCGAGGGTGGTACTTAAGACAGAGGGCACAGTTTTTCCCAATGCGACCAAATGTTTTCGGAAAAACGAAAGTGATTTAAGAGCAGGAGAGAAGAGAGAAGAAATGTAATTTATCGCCGAAAGGTCGTTACCAAAGTCTTCGCTCAAAATTTCTGCCCAGCTGGCAAAATGAGATATATTTGTGAAAAATTGCAATGAATCTTGAGATGTTCTGCAAAGCGACTCAACGTGAAACGGACACCAGTTCAGATCTCAGGATTTATAGAATATCACCCGCTTACGAGTTGAGCTAAAAACAATCAATATTATTTTCTTTAAGGTTCCAGATATGTTAACTGAGTTCGGTAGAGTTTCTGGGTTTTGTGTGTAGGAATGTTTCAGTGTGGTTTCTGTATCCTGTCCTGGTGTGGTTTTTTGTGAGTCCAATGCATTTTCAGTAGTGCTGCTATCCTTACGTATGACTATGGCTCGGTAGATAACGATGATTGGAGGCAGTTTTCGTTTAGTGGGCATGTATTCTTTTGTCGGCAGTTACAAGTTTTGTTGTCTTTTATGTTGGTGTCATCTGTGGTGTCATCGATGTGTTTGGATGAATTTAGATGCGTTTACGTATGATGCACGATCCTCGCAGTAGAGAGCGCTATTTATGCAATAGCGGAAATCAGACCTGAAAAAAATCAGGTCTGTACGGGATTCGAACCACTGACCACCGCATAAATAGCGCTCTCTACTGCGAGGATCGTGCATCATACGTATCTAATACCGCAGTTCAAAATATATAAACTTTATATATTCATTGTATCTTAGATGCGTTTGTTGTGATTGTCGATGATCTGTTTAATGTCATTCGTGAAACTTTTTAAAACATAATA